ATTTTTTCAGAAGAATTGGGAGAACCTCGTTTTCATATTTATAATTAATACAAAAATAATACTTTTACATTACGCATATTTACTTTATACATTTCTAATATTTCATCATTTATTGTGTCTAATATAAAGGATTAATAAAATAATAACTTTATAGTCGTAATGTATTAATTTTAGAACACAATGAATTTATATATTTTTTTCATTTTGAACTATAAAAGCATAGCTTACCTTTTAAAAGAGTTGACAATTTCTTTGCTTCTTCCTTTTTACACTAATACGTATTATAAATATATTTTTATATTTATATAACACTATTTTTTTTTTACTATTGCTTATTTCCATAAGGCAAATGAATCCTACAATTTTTACTAAAATGATGTCACCACAACCTTAAAATAGTATAAATTAAAAAATTAAATGTTATTAAGATAAAAAATAATTAACATGATAGATTGAATCTCTTGCTTCTGTTGGAAGAGTGTATATTAAAATTCGCCTGCATCACAAATGCATGCTAAACTTGAACATTATGATATATACTATATTTTAGGTATTTATTCTTTTATCATTAAACTAATTCATATTAATGTAAATAATAATACATGAAATCATAAAATACGATTGGGAGTACCTATATTTTACATCATTATTCATTTTCATTTATCTCAATATTTTTTCATTTTATTTATATAATATATTTTATCGTTTGAATTACGTATTTCTTTGAATTCATCAAAGATGTTCTTAAAACGTTTACATAATGACATCTCATTTTGATGACATATGCATTATAGCTTAAACTCATGTATGAGTCATATGCTTAAGAATCCGGGAAAATAGTTAACAACACTGGAATTTGTGATTGACGTTAAATTCAAAAGTATATTATTAAAAATTTTTATCATGTTTTTACAATTCTTGGACACCCCTTCTCATCCCTATTAGAACCAGCATCTACACTATTAAAAAAATTTTAAGTTTGTTTTTTTTCATAATTTTTGTCATCCTGGGACACAATTGTTTCATAAACATGAATACCTCAAAAAACATGACACTTAAAAAAAGTTAGTTATATAAAAACATATGATTTCTTTTAGAAAAATCCAATTATTTAGTATTGAAAATCAATATTAATATTTTAAACCTTAAAAACTCATTTTAAGAGAAAAATACAGTATGCGCTTAAATCGGGATGTTATAACATTTTGTTATAAGTTATATTATTAAAACGAAATAATAAAGATTTTTGATATATATATTTATATATATGAGAAATAATGGGTTTAAATATGTTTATGTTTTAGCTACATTATTTTTCTACTGATTATATATAAATCTGTTTTTTACAGTTATAAATGTTACTGATTAATAAAGAAAATTAAAATAAAATAGCATTGCTAGTAAAATATACAATGTAAATTAAAAAGTATACGAATTCTTATATAAAACAATAATATATATGTGAAAAACAAACACTGCAATCCTTAACGGAATATAGTAAAATTGTAATTGTAAATAAGTCCCTTAATTGTAATGACAGATGACAAAAGACATTGTTTGATATATAATAAATTCTAATTCTTCCTGTAATGATTATTATATTTATTTATTTTAAATTATAACTTATTTCTTAATCTGAATATGTATGCTTACTTAAGTTATAAATTTTTTCCTCAAGTAATAATTTACACAGTTTTATAATTTTAAAGGAGATAAAGCTGGAATTCTTTCATTTTTTTTCCACTCTATCTTATTATCAAAGCAAAAATCAGAATTACATATGTTAGCCAATACCATGATAAAGGGGTGCAATTTACATAAACATATTTTTTTGTATTAAGAATTATACTATATATACGTATAGTGTATTCGTTTAAATAAAATATATTCATTATATAAAATGTATTTTTAATTATATGTAGATAACTTCAAAAATGTTATGCCACTTAAAGTTGTAAAAAAAAAAAAGGGTAAATTTCTAGATATATAACAAAAATATATTTTTTTTTGCATTAAGTATATACTTATTCTCTTATACCTCCGTTAAAAAATTATGTTAATGTAAAATCACATCATTTTTTAATAACACACTATGAAGATATTATACAAATAAAGTTCACTTTTTTTATTCGTTATAATTAATATAGGGTATGATATTCTAGAATCTAAAAAAATATAATATGTTTAGACAATTTATATGTATTATATATTATACAGAAACTGTATTGTAAATAGTGTATTAAGAAAATACGAAAAAAATAATAATTTCCTTATCACATGATTACTGTAAAAATATAATTTTATATTTACATAACCATGAGAAATAAATATTTAATATATAACGGTTTATGTATATTTCATTCATGTAATTATGTATAAAAATTATATAAACTATTTGTAATATATGCCTTTTAGAATTTATTAAATTATGCGTTAAATTGTATTAGATAATAACATAAGTAAACATATGATTATGACATGCATTAATTTTTATAGATAATAATCTACAAAACACTAAATATTATATATTGATCCTAGAAATATCTATTCCTGAAAGATGTATAATATTATTTTCATTTTTTTTTTGAAACATATACAGAGCGCAACCCGTAAATGTTAATGCTGAGGGGACGTTGTTGTTTTATAAAATTATACCAAACATTATATATATCGAGGAATTCAATATATTGGCTTTTATCAAGCACGGAGAAATATTTTTTAAAATCCCAAATAATGTAAAGTATTTCAATAAAAATCCCCCAATGCAAAGAATGCATAATGAAGCAGCAAAACAATTTTCCAAAAATTGCATAAATATGTGGTGTTATATATACAAATACAGATATGAAATATATATTATACTTCTTAAATATGAAAATATTAACTCAATAAAAAAATAATTAATAAAATATTAACATATATAGTAGTAAAATTATAATCATCCTTTTATCCAAATCATATAATTTTTATATGGAGTTATGTATTTTACCGTGAAACAAAAATATATATCCAAATGTTATATAATGTAAGAATTACATGTACAAAAAAATTTCTATTCATTTAAATGGTACCTTATAATATGAAATGTAACGATTTTTTTATAAAATCAATTAAATGTAAAAAATATTAATGGAAAAATGACAGAAGTACTTAAAAAATACCAAACAATTTACTACTGATATTATTATATGTGATAATTGAAAATAACATAGGTATCTTAATCTTAGGTAAAAATCATAGGATTACATTAAAAAATATATGAAAATAAATGGATTCATAAATTGTACAATTAATTTAGGAATCATAAATTACAAAACAATTATTTGATATAATTTGAATGATTCAAATATGAGGAGAGATGCTTTCACTAATTTTTGTGGGTGCAAAAAAATATATTTTTGTTCCCATATTTTTCTTATGAAGAATGAAGTTAAAAGTATGAAAGAGAGGAGGAAAATATATTTGCTATGCAACAAGGAATTAGAGCATAACATTGGATAAAAAAAAAAAAATATATTGAAATCTAAAAAATTACATTCAGAAATCTTCCTTCAAATTTGAAAAAATAAGATACTGTGTTAATTCCTAATAAAGCGTCTATTTATTATTTGCACATATTTATTCTACGCGTGTTCGTAAAATATGATGTATCCCTTTGAAAGAAATACATATATTTTAGCATTTTATTGTATATTTTTTCTGTGTCATTTTTATGAATATATATTATTATTTTCCTTTTTCATTATTTTTTTGCATAATTTGTTTGGAATATTCATTCGGATCACTTTTTTGGATAATACTATAGAACTTTTTTATTTTTCTATATCCGACTAAAAATTTTTTTTTAATGATGATTTGCAAGAATGTGGCTATAAGTTGAGCTACACTTTAAACTTTTCTTCTTTTAATTTTCATTTATTTCATACCTATGTAAAGGGAGTAAAAAGATTTTACAGTCTTCCATTATGTGTATATAAGTGGATCTAGCGGAAAATTGGGTACACATATACATAACAACTTTTAGTTAAATAACAATTTTTAGATTTCTTTGTTATGGGAAGATGGCATATGTTTCTCATTCGCATCACATAATATAACGTTAAAATTAAAGAAAAATAAAGAAATAAAAGTAAATATATGTAGAAAAATTCGAAATGTTATATATTCTATTGTGACAATGTTCTGGTTATGGGTTATCCAAATCCATAAGAATTTAGGTGCACATCATGTTGTGCGTTACTTTTTCATAAAATTAGAGATTATATATTTGAAATTTTGTTAGAAAGGATTACCTCCTTATGCAAACAATTTTTTGTTTTCATAATAATTATTAATCTTTTCTTATTTTTTTATGCTAAATTTGTCATATAAGTATACATCTGGGTCAGCGTAAAAAAAAAATATACAAAAATCGAATGAAAAACTGTATATTTGCAAATTTTGGTAGTAAATTTTAGTTTGTCAATATATTTCGTGTATAACGAACTAACGGAGAAACCTTTTGGCAGAAGTTCATTTTTCTCTGCATTATGAAAAATAAAAAATGGGTACATTGAAAAATTGAGGATATAGATGAATGAATCAATCAAGGAAGTACGGGAAAATAAATAAACAAACGAACAAAGTGGAAAATAAAAGAACAAAATACAAAAAAAGAATGAATATTTTTAGCACGTAAGTTTTTCTTTCTCTTGTGTTCACACAAAATTAACAACTTGAATGCTTTATAAAGCACATTGTTCATTTTTACTAAAAGATATAAAATGAAAAGTGATTTTGCGACATATTTTTTATTCGATAAATTGTGCATATATCATTATGTATGCAAATAAGTTAGGAAATAACACAAAAGCACAAGTACATATATGTTAAAATATAAATATGCATGTATACGCATAAAATTACTCGTAGCAGGAAAGAATGCTAAGTATATTTAAACTTACTACTTCTATTTTGTTATTTTAATGAAGCTAATTTTTTAGATCTCATATGTAACATTTTTAATTTCTAATAAATAAACTTTTGAGTATTCTTTTAATCGAAGCTGGTTTCGACAATTTTATTCCGTATTTGGATCCTATTTCAACATATATGTACATAAACTGAAAAATGTGAATTAAGAATAAAGTGATAAAAAAAATTGAAAATGGAGAAACAAAATAAAAACCTATATATGCTATAAGTAATAAGGGGATTAGACGTTTTACATGAGGAATAGATATTTTATGTTTGTCCTTAAATTTTAAATTCTTTTTGCTCATATTTCCATAATTAAGATCATCGTCAATGATACTGCTGTTGGATTTGAATAAATCTAGCAACTCTATATCACTGCAGGAATTTATGTTGTTTATATATACATTCTGTTTATATCTACATTTTTTTTCTTTTCTATTCCTATTACACTTCTTTTTTGTAAAAGTTTCATCATTTTCCAATGCTTCTAATTCTGAAAAATTACCTTCATATATAGCTTCTAATTTTTTCCTAATTCTTTTGTAATTTTCGAGATCCCCAAATTCTCCAGCATAACCGTTTGTATCTAAATATCTTCTTTTTATATTTTGATCATAAGCTGTATTATTTATTTCTTCTTCATCTTTTTCAACATACTCAAGAATATCATCAAGTTTCAGAGAATCTAAAGACTCAGAAGAACCACCTGTATGGCTTCGTACGTTTAGTGAATGTCTAGAATAATCATTATTACTTACGGCATCTAGAGAATCTGTATAATCAACATAGTTCCCTACAATTAAATTTTTTTTTAATTTGTTTTCTCTTTTTAATGAATCA